TTGCAAAAATGTGTGACCTCTGCAGATCATGATGTCATGTAAAATCACGAGAAATCAGCCGATTCTAGTGGATTTTTTGAACTTTGAAGAATTTTAAAGATTTTGGATAAAATATAGACGTTATTGATTGGAAATTATGATCAATAGGGAATTAAAATCTCGGAAATTTTTCCGCCGTCATCACCGTGAAATCACAAGGTCACACTTTTTTGCAAAGCGCAATAATCTCTATCTGTTCACGATCTAAACTATATTGATTCAAGACCCTATAAACTCCCCGATCGTAACACCTTTTAAACTTTATTTTCGTTCTCAACTCTTTATTATTATTATTGTTGTTATTATTACACTATATACGTAATCTAAAATCAGGTGACTAAATAAATATTAAGGCCACGAATATTTGGGACACTTTAAGAACATTTAACCCAGTGATGCAAAACAATCATTTTTGATGCTCCTGCACCTACGTACTTTTTTGATACTGATCGACATGAAGATCCTAGTAAAAATAAGCATTTTCAAAACTTTGAGCGAAGATATCTCAACAACCATCCACCAAATTCGATAGAACGTTTTTTTGATTTCTATTGATCCATAAAATTCAAATAAAAAAAATTTTCACCGAATTTAGTCAAATAATTGTCGAAATATCTTAGCTCAAAGTTAGAGAAAAATCAAAACGCCTATCAAATAATTAACTATACAAAATGGTACGACAGATTCTCGATTTTGATTGGCTAAAAGTGACGATAAAAGAATTAGGCCGGGACTACACATAATTTTACTAATGAAATAGCAGCTGCACATAAAGTGAAAATTGTTTCTGGGCTAATTTTACCATTATGCGGGCTTATTTTTAAAAATTATGTAATGTGGGCCAAACTTGAAGATCCTCGGCTGTTAGCCAATCAAAATCGAGGATCTGCCGTGAAACTTGTTTCAAAATAATAGCTGCGCCAAATTTTTTTCTCAAAATTTTGAGAAGATATCTCGATAATCATATGGCCAAATTCGATAAAACTAGTGTTCGAAAAAGTCAGCACGGATCGGATTCTGATTTGTGCGGATCCAAACCGTCGGATTAGTTTTGGGCCCTGAATCGTGGATTGGGCCCGGATTGAACGGGATTGGGCCTAATTTTAGGTCGTCTTTATATATAGTCACCGTATGTGATAAATTCGAATTGTCACATGATAAATTCGAACCTATCTCACTTTATGTCACAATTTATGTGACAAATACGAATTTATCACATAAATTGTGACAAATATTGGGACAAACCGCGGATCAACCGTCAGATTCAATCCGAATTACGGATTCGGATCGGATTCGGATCAATCCCGGATCAACCGGGATTTTTAATCCGATTTCGAACACTAGATAAAACATTTTTTATTTGAATTGTATTGATTCATAAAATTCAAATAAATGAAGTTTCATTGAATTTAGTCATATGGTTATCGAGATATCTTCGCTCAAAATTAGAGAAAATTTGGCGTAGCTTCTATTTTATGCGGTTTGATTTTTTTTTAACTTTGAGCGAAGATATCACGACAATCATCTGACAACCATTTTTTTATCTGAATTCCATGGATTCATAGAATTCAAATAAAAAAAGTTTATCAAACTTGGCCAGATGGTTGTCGAGATATCTTCGCTCAAGATTTTGAAAATTCTTATTTTTACTGGAATCTGCATGTTCGTAAATTTCAAATATCACATGACTATAATAAATATTTGGCAATTAAAATTTCACAAACCGCAATATATCTACAAGTGATTCTTTATATCTGCCTATCTGTTGATAAGCTTCTCCACGATTACTTAAAGCTAATGCATTATTTGGACCAATCTCTAAAGATTTATTAAAATAGAGTGAAATAGTGACGGCGCAAATATTTGGCGGTCCCGTGATTTTTATTCAATTGTAAAATCAAATGCGAAGTAAACCGAAAAAAATCGCAAAAAGCTCATAAATTCGCAAAGGAAATTGTCATGTAATTAAGTAAAAGTTTTCAGCACAAAAATTTAGATATATTCTTTCTACTTTGTATTAATGCAAACATTAATTTTTTGGGCGAATTTCAGATATCATTATTATTTGAATTAGTCACAGGACAGCCAAATTTTTGCGCCATCACTATTTCACTCTTAAAATATGGAAGTGGTTCTTCATATTTGCCTACCAAATAATAAATTAATCCACAAAAATTTGCAAGCAAATTTTCATATACGTTCATATTGTTGATATATTATTATTATTATATTGATTGGAATATTGATTGTTTTACCTCCTTTTGCTTTATTAATTTGGCACGTATTAAGTACCGAATAAAAGTAATCAAACATTTTTTGCGTCAAAAAGAAGAAAGGATACTTTTATTTGTTATTAAATCACAATATTTTTCTGTCAATGTTATTTATTGTATTATTTTAAAATCGGGACTTGCTGTTATTCGTAGTGTTTGTTATGACCACACTGGTAATATAAAGTTAGGTATGACCTAAAATGGTCAACACTGCTTATTCGGGTTGCTTTTAATCGTGATGTTTTTGATCAAACTTATACTTTACCATGTATTTTGAGAAATGTAATGCATAACAATGTAGAACATTGACGGCAACACTTGAAATATTAAATTCGCTTTACCTATTCTTTTAACTTTTCTAAATAAAGACCTATTTCGATAGAGAAATCTTAAATAGTTGCATTAATAATCTTTTACATTTTATATTATCCGAAAAAGTATTCTAAACTGTATAAATAATTACGTCGTTCGAAACGAAATGAGGTCTAATTTTCTAGAAAATTGATAGAAAAATGGTGAGATTAAAATTTCCTTTCTGAAATTTTCTTTGTCGATAATAATACAACATGCAAAATAGTCCAACTAAAATAAATATCACGTACGTACGACAAAATGGAAAGCCGCACATATTAAAATAAGAACAAAAATGGAGAACAAATAACAACTGTAATAATAGACTTTCTCCGAATATAAAAAATTGTACCTAATTTAGAAATTCCCGGAATCTCAATTCCGTCCACCTAATTGTTAACCATAGCCTGGAAAGTCATTCAAGTCATACTTACCTCCGTTGATTATCCGGAATTCGACTTATTCTGGTCGATTATTTTACAAGACGCATTAGCATCTTGACTCTACGTCAATTTGAAAGAATCACCGAGAAATCAGATAATCTGGGCGGTAAAGAATCCGGCCGAAAATTTTTAAAAAATGGAAAAAATCTGGAAATCAACCATCTAAATCTAGCGGACTAATAATTTCCTTGGTATTTGGCTAATATATTCAGCCACAGCAAAGCAGTTATTCTAGTTCTTGCACTTGCAATAACAATTGCATATTTTGAGAAAGATTATTTAAAACGCTTTCAAATCTATGAAAAATTCAATTGACTTTTTGGCAAATCAACGTTTGAGTTGTTTAAGGTTTTAAAAAATACAGAAATAACGATAATAATAAAATAAAGTTGGCAAAGAGTTGTTTAAGGGCTATAATAACTAGTAAATATCATGTTTCCAAAATACTGCTTTCCTGATATATATATTATGTATATCAACAAGAGATGTGTTATGTTTAACAAAGAATTTGATTGGTGTGGCCTAACTGACCACCAAAATTTCGACCGATTACCATCTCTAGTATAAAAAAAGGTGTCATTGTGCTTGACATTAATTTTGATTTTACATAAGAATACGTTCAACCAATTCTGAATTTTATAATTGTAATTCAAATGAATAGCTTATCATTTTTTTATTTTTTTTTATTTTTTTTTATTCTTTATTTTTTTTCCCTTCTTTTAAAACCCCTTCTAAGGAGGGACGCCGAGAGGCATAAATTTTCAACAGTTTTTGAGGACATCGACATCATTGTTGAAATTGATGATGTTGGAGTTTTAGTGAAATTAGACACGAAATCATATTTGTATGAAGTACGAATGAAACTTGAGCGTAATAATATAATAGAAATTACTAATGTTATTCATTTTACGAAAAATGATGTGTTAATTAGCCTTGATGATGAAAGTACGTATAAATTGAATGATATTTTAGATGGAAATAAAATCTTTCTTATGAAGAACCCTAGGCCAAATTGGCAAGTGTTGGTAAGAAAATTTAAACTAGAATATGGACGCAATTACGATGAAGATAAAGATAAAGTGGCAGGGAAAAAAGCGTTCATTATTGAAAATTGTGAATTTAGTGTACTTGAGCCTATTGAGCTTAACTTTCACACTTTAATAAGTTCATCCGTTAATGATTTATCTAGAAATAAAAACTTATTTTTAAAAGCTCAATTAGACATTCCAAATATTGCGAACTTGGGTGTTTCAATTGAACCAAAAAACATTCAGCAGAATAAATCCAAAGAAACATCTTTAAAATTTGAGCTCAAAAATATTGTCAAGGCAAATCTATCTATTACAAGGATAGTACCCACACGGGAATTTAATGATGCAGTAGAAAAAGCATTCCATTCAAAAGATCCAAATATGCTACAAAAAATTATTGAAGAATTTGGGCAATTTATTCCTACGGTTATTTTATTTGGTGGAAGACTCCATTACATGAATACAGCATACACAGAAAAGAATTCAGAAAACAATAAAAAAGCATTTTCAGGAAACCTAAGTGTTTATGGACAAGGTCTGGAAGCTCAATATAAACCTGATGTAACAAATAGAAATGAGAATACCATACAATTTCAAGACTCAGTTATTTTTGGTGGTGATAAGATAAAAATACTTCAGGGCAAGGAAAACGATTGGATATTTTCATTAGAAGACTTTAAGTATTGGGAAATAATCGAATTTCATAAGCCAGTGAGCATATTTGAATTTTTAGATGATGATAAAATTAGAAAATTAAATGTATTAAAGGGTAAAATGATCATTTATTCTAATGTTCAATTTTATAACTTTAAAATGCATGATCGTAACAACGGAAGCGATGTTGTCGACTTGAAGATGCCCCAAAATATCGGATCCATTTTGTCTAATAGAGATATTGATCTGCAAGTTTTTTCTGCAGTGTCTAGCACGGAAGAAGATGACACCATATTCACATGCGTATTATATACCCCACCTCCTTCATATATTCCCAAAGTTATTATTAATTGCATTCAATCTGATTACGAACAAAAAAAAGAATATCAGCTTAAAATTAGCTGGTTTGTTGTTGGGTATGATTTAAATTTTAATTCAGTTTTCGATCCAACACATTGTCTTCAAAGCGTTAAAATAAAGCTATGCTATGATTATGATTCTGAGTTCTCACTTGAAGCAAGTGAAGTACTCAAAATACCCATGATGCACTCCACGGTACTATATTGTATACCTGTGGTCTCTGAGTGGGATGATAGTTTCAAATATTCGATCATTGGCCATCACTTTAATAGACATGATGATAAAGTTCGTGTACATCTTTATGGATATGATTTAAGAAAGAAGGAATGTTTAAGAAGTTCAGCTTTACGTAATTTCAATTTGAATATTCTCTATCCGTCCAGTCATCCAAATTCCGATATATTTAATTATTTCAGAATAGAAAGAAACTCATCTGTAAAAAAAATGAGTTTAACTAAAATGATAAAAAACGTGAGAAAAAATACTAGTAATACTTCTAGTAAACTCTCAGGACTTATCAGTTTGTACACGGAAGGATACGAGAAACTTGACCATGCATTCATCGGCAAAAAACATGGTCGTTTTTTTATTATGAATCCTGACAAACCTATTCCTCAATATGATCATTTTTCTGTAGCAGTCTTTGATCCTGAGATTGAAGACTAAGCAGCACCGGTAGTCGAGACCGAAGGTGAAACATCACTCTTACATTGTAATATTTATTTGTAAGATATGCTAAAAACATATGATTCATGGAAATTTTAATGTTGAGCACGTAATTGTGCATTGATTATTGAAGTTATTGAGACTTTTCTTTTTCTTTAGCCTTGCGCTCCTAGAAAAGAAATAATAGATTAAATTATAAATTTAACGGGCATTTACCGTTTTGAGAAAGTTATAGTTGATAAATTGGTATTGTAAAATTAATTGCTAGACGCAATAAACTTTTTTTTGCTTCATATATTATCGTATATATTGTTATTTTTGTTCAAATAAATAAAAATAAATAAATATTTATATTATTATCGATAAACCATTACTATTTAAAATTTTTATTCAGTAATAATTATATAATTTTTGAAGACTTTTTTTTCAATTTATCTTACCTTCAATATGTAAATGTATAAACTTATTGGTCTTAACATTTTCACTTATTAATATTTACTGATAAATACGTACCCGATTCTTTATGATTTTTTATTTTTTATTTTAATTTTGTTCACCGTTATTACTGTGCTATTATTACCTCTACGGTTTTTATAATTTATTTTTTACAGTATTTATTATCGTTATTTATTCTTTTTCATAAAAGTTTCACTATCAACCAGTGTTTGAAATTTCAGATCTAAATATTGTTCTCATGAGAACAGTATAATAACTATAGGTGTTCTCAAACTTTTATATTCACAAAAAAAAAAACACCCAGCGTCCAATAATACTGTATTTATTGGAAAATGTACTAAGGATCAAAAAAAAAATAGTACGTATAAATTTTCAGCATAATATTTGTGCTAAACATACGATTTATACAAATACTAATTAAATATAATATACATCAAATTTATAAGTTTAATCTTTACAATGTGGCGCACTTTTTTCATTTCAAATCTGCAGACTTATTATACTTATAGAACACAAATATTAATTTACTGTTCTCAAAAAATTTTTAATTGTGAATAGTAAAAAATTTATAGTAGTGTTCTTATAAGAACTCTGAGAACGTTAATTTCAAACACTGCAACCAACTAGTTAATTTTATTTTTGAATATCTATAAATTGAGAAAAATCGATCTTTATAGATGTGCTAGCCCAATTAAAAGAGAATTTTTGGTTTTAATATCTATATAGAAACTCTATAACAAACCAGAATTAGGCAAAAGTAAATCTATTTAAAAAAACTAGAGCTGAGGGGTGAACATTTGCACTTATATATTTATAAACATGCTAATGAGAAATAAACTTAGTTATAAATATATTATTAATCTTTTTAATGGTTATTTGAACTTAATTTTTGTTAATTTTTTTAGGAATTCATTAGATTTTATATACTGTATTTAATTACAAATTTTGAGATCTTTTCATATAATTGCAGCCTATATATTTTAATCCTCGACTGTTATATCTGGATTATGGCTGATACCATACTTCATTCGTTTTATTTTCACTATGATATTAGGGTAGCTGCGCGACTTGCAACGTCACACAGGACCAGTACGATCAGATGAGATAATAAAATAAATATAGCACTACTTCGTAAATTCATATTTACATATTAACAGAGATTAATAAAATTCACAATACACATGTGCAATAATTCGAAACACTGCTCTACTTTTGAAGAAAAAAGTCGCTACTACTATAAACTTTTCTGAAGCTATAAATGTGGTGTGCGTTATTTCGGGATGCACATGAGCATTATTACGTCTATATGGTGCTGTGTTTACAAAATTACACTAACAGATTAAAGTATAATAGATTTTAATTATGATAATTAGTTTACTATTAGGGATAGGCTCGGTTAGACTATAGTCGGCTAGAACGACTTAGCTGACTGGCTAGCCGATACCAAAATTTTTATTTCCTGGCTGATAAATCATAATTATTGCTTAATTCAGCATGGAGTGCACAATTTATAGAATTATCCGTCGCGGCAGATTCTCGATTTTGATTGGCTAAGAGCGACGATCAAAAATTTTAGGCTGAAATAAAATCACAGTTGCCATTAAGTGAAAAATGTTCCTGGACTAATTTTACTATAGTATAGGCTTATTTCCCTAGGAATTAATAAAAAGTTAAAAACTTAGTCCCGGCCAAAATTACGTGACAATTGTATAATGCGGGCCAAAATTTTGTAAACCACGGCAGTTAGTTAATTAAAATTGAGATCTGCCGTGGCAAAATTGGTACATTCTTTATCTAACAATCGAGCAATTTTTGTCGATAATTTGCAAGAATACAGAATTTTGATAATAATAAATAATCACTGTTTGCAAGATGTATCCAATTTTTTTTTTATTTTTTGTATTTCTATAAACTTAACAGAATAAACTTTCAGAATTAAAATAATAAATTTTCATCGAATTTGAATCAATGTTTGTTGGGAATCTTCGTTTAAAAGTTAAAAAAAAGGAAAATTTACCGGTTTTTTTAGTAAAATTCGAATGTTTTTTAAAATTTTAGTGAAGATTCCTCAACTATCAATCAAATTTAATTTTTTTTATATATTAATTATACAAAAGTTTAGGATTAAGATAAAAAAAATTTACTGAGTTTAATCAAGTAGTTACAGAGAAATGTTTGCTAGGATCAAAATTTTTCAAAAAATTTCGTATGGGCTGATTTCGACCGATCTACATTTTCAAACCAATCTAATTCTGGTCAAATTTATATAGATCTGATAGATCTGATCCAATTTGCAATGTTTCACAGAACACCGCTTAAATACAGCAAACCACAGAAATCACATTTGGTCACCACAGAATATCACAGAATTCTAAAAAAATAGTACAGAATATCACAGAAAATCATGGAATTTTAAAATAACAAAACATTACCATAAATTTAGGTTGGCACCGGGAAATCCCGGAAAGGTAGTCAACGTAAATTACGAACACATCAGTAGGGGAGTTGCGGAATTATATGGAAACTACTGAATTACTGTATAAGAATTAAGTCGCAAGAGATATCACGGAATTTCACAAAAACACACTACATCACATCACAGAAATTTAATTAATCACACGCAGAATTTGGTTTATTCACCGCAGAAAATCATCGTCCCATTAACCATAGCTTCCGCAACAAATTTGGACCGGCAGATCCTCTATTTTGATTGGCTAACGGTCGAGGATCTTCGAAATTTTGGCCCACATTACAAAATTGTTTACTAATTTCCGGCCGGAATTAACTTTTAATTTTTCATTACAAAATAGAAATTATTAAAAAATAAGCCCGCATTATGGTAAAGTCGGCCCAGGAACAATGGGCGGCTATGATTTCATTATAAAATTGTGAGTAATTTTTTGATCGTCGCTCTTAGCCAATCAAAATCGAGAATCTGCCGGTCCAATTTTGTTATGTAATTGTTTAAATTTTGTTTATCAAACAATTTGATTACTTCAGTATTTTGATTGGCTGTGCTGTTTATAGCACATGATCTGAACTTTTAGGATACTCTAATATTGTATAACTGTATAACATATAAAATGTCACTTAATTAAAAATTCATCAAGTACGTAATTATAGCCGACTATTAGTCGATAGTCGGCAATAACCGACCGTAGCTGACCGAACCCAACCCTAAACACTACATTTGAGCTATAGTAAAAAATCGCTTGGTGCTTACTTATGGTTTACAAATTCATTTGTGCCAGTATATTTTAATTCATTATTTGTGTTATTCATGAGCACTATGGCTTTTACCCAGGGCTGGGCAAGCTATATATCCAGCGCTTTTTCACCGGACACTGGACATTTCCAATTTGTCCATTGTAATGTCCAGTGCATGTCTAGTGTCCAGTGAGACATTTTATAAAAAATTCAAAAAATAAATAAATTGGTAAAAACATAACATAAATAATAAAATATCCTTATGTAATCAATTTGTAAAGGTTAGTATTTCAAATGCTAAACCACTCAAAGCAATATGCACAATAGACAGGTTTTGTATTTAATGATGGTGATGCAACCACGTGATGCTAATTGTCACATGCTATTTCTTATAAGTAATAGCATGTGACAATTAGCATCACGTTGTTGCGTCACTCATCATAAGTACTGGAAGATTATCAGACTTAAAAACATTATAAACTATTACATTATATAGCAGGAACAGGCTTAGTAAAATAGTTTACCAGATTTGCAAATTACCGCTTTTAACAAAATTGCTTTTGGCAGTGGTAATTTTTTGCAGATATAATCCTTATTCAAGCCTATTATATTTTGTTATTTAGTTATATAAATGTTTAATTATTTAGTTTATTTGATTTTTTTATTTAAACTTTTAAAAAATTATATTTTTTTAATTTTGTTGTCTAGTGATTATTTTTCTTAATTCATTGCTTTTCACTAGACAATTTGAGTACTGGACACTGGACAAATTTTCAATTATCCAATTGTCCAGTTGCCCAGCCCTGCTATATTATCCTTCTGCCTAATCCCTAAAGAAATTAGGATTTAAAATATAAAACCTGTCATTACTTGGTCTTGGATGGATTACTATATAAAATCAATCCCCACTATCCCATGTGTCTATTACGGGTTTTAAAAAAAGATGAAATCCAATCTATACTCTTTAGTATACATAATGACCTCTTGCTAGACATTTTGACTTTTATACCACTTATCAATGAATTGCCATCTATTATTATTGGCCTCAAGTGGGCAATGATATTAAAAGCTATATCAAAACATGTAATATATATTAAAAGAAACAAAAACTAATACTTGCAAATCTTTATATTCTATTAAAATTAGTTAACCTTTTGACTATATCAGAATTGATATAATAGGCCCTTGCCAGTAATATTAACAAACAAAAGGTATATCATAGTTGCTACTGTGTACCTTACGAAGTGGCCTAAGGCTTGTACACTAGAAGTAGCAAATGCTGAAACTGTTGCTACTTTTATTTTTCAAGATCTAATTTGCCACTATATCAGTTTGAA